CATTAGTGGATGATAATGATAGAATTAAAGAAATCGAAAGGGCAAAATCTGAAAATAGTTTTATGGGTAAGGTGATGAAGTTATCCATTAGATGATTGTTAGGGAAAATAGTGAGCTTTCAAGGGTGTTCTAAAATGATAGTGGAGAGAGAGAGAGAGAGAGAGAGAGAGAGAGGGAGAGAGATTGATTGATTGATTGATTCAGTTAAAACCCCAAGAACAGAGAAGATTGTTTCTCTTGCCCGTAAGTAGGGATTGCACGGCTGGGAACGGCAGTCTTTGAGAACTCTCCATTGTCTAACGTGTGTGTGTGGTGGGGAGAGTGTGGAGAAGGATGAAGGTGGTGGGGCAGTAGCAGGTGACCCATCACAACACTGCAAGTCAGGGGTGAAGTTCAGCTGAGTGTTTGCAGGTCTCTGCCTCTCTCAGCTGGAGGAACGCGCCACTGGTCCCAGTGCTGGCTCTCCTAGGTGTGTGTTATGGGACAGCAGGAAGTAAATATCTCTTGTTAAATGACAACACGTTTGATATCCAGGGGAAATACATAAGAAGATGGGGGAACTAGAAGAAAGCCTTGCATTTTGTAAGGGAGAAATAGTACAGAGAAAGAAAACGGAGAGTACGGGAGAGCAGCATCTATGGCTTTTGAAAGGGGATCGCCCTTTTCCCTCAAAGACATAGCACGAACAAAATGCAGAGAATGAAAAGCCACCACTGGTCTGTTTCCTGGTGGCCAGCGGCCATTACTCCTCTTCTAACAGCTCCATCAAAGTGGTAGTGCTGACACCGCTCATTCTGTGTCCCTGTCGTTTGGTGTGTATCTCAGCTGTAGCACCTGACATTTTTGCACTTGGATATTCCCGTGCTTTGGCCACACGTCTCTCTTACTGACGGTGATCTCCTTTAGGGAGGACACTGGTTTGTGTTCCTTCTGGTACACAGCTTCTAGCACACTGTTTGATCCAGTAAACAGTGGGTGTGTGAACATTGTGAAACATTTCTAGAAACTGTGACGTCTGGAAAGCCACCGATGATGCCACATGCCTGTGCTTATAAATTATGTAAGGAATCTTAACGTCCCTCTCATGTCACGTGTCTGAGGTCAAGTTCAGCTGACCCACATTAAGGAAAATGGATTTGCTGTAGATTACCATCAAGGAGCTCATAAACAGAGAGTGCAAGCATATAAAACCAACAACATAATGTGTGAAGGTTTTATGGTGGAAGACAACTGTGGTCCTTGAATAATGGGGAGCACATATCGTCAGAAAGTGGACAGAGAAAACTGCATTTCAGGAAAAGGACTTGGTTGGAGCCATGGCCCATGGTTTCCAGTGTAGACTGGATGGAAGGGCCTCGTAGGTTCCCCTGGGGGATGTGGAGAAACATCCAGAAAGCAGAGCAAATGGAGTATTTCAGATTTTACCAACTGGACAAGGAGCCTTTGAATGTTTTTATAAATAATTATTTTAGAAAGACAAGATAGTTTTTCAAGGAAGCTGAAATGTGTAATGATGACCCGTGTGGGGCAATGGATGGGTGCTGAAACTTCCACACTAAAACTCATATTGCAAAATGAGAAACTTATTAATATCTCTAAAAGTAGGATATCCATAATATTCACTGCCCAAATTGGAGCAATTTTAAGAGCAAGAAATGGGTACTTTTTTTTTAGGATTTTATTTATTTATCTGAGAGGTAGAGCTACAGACAGAGGTTTTCCACCTACCGGTTCACTCCCCAAATGGCCACAATGGCCAAAGGTGGGCCAATCCGAAGCCAGGAGCCAGGAGCTTCTTTTGGGTCTCCTGTGTAGGTGTAGGGGTCCAAGCACATGGGCTATTTTCCACTGCTTTCCTAGGCCACAGGCAGAGAGCTGGATCAGAAGAGCAACAGCTGGGACTTGAACCAGTGCCCCTATGGGATGCTAGTGACAAAGGTGGAGACTTGGGCTAGTACACACAGTGCTGGCCATGAAACGGGTACTTTTAATATTTATGCTGGGACAACTGCCCTCAAATGAGAGGGTCCTGGACAAACTGTGAGGTAGAGACACCCTGTATCTAAGGGTACTTTAAAAAGTCTGTGAAAAATGGATTTAAAAATAAGCTTATTTTGGTGCAAAAGTACTTTAAAATCCATGCATAGTTTTTCCATAATACACATTATTAAGGAACTCTTTGAAGACATCATGTTTAAATAAATTTTCTTTAGTTGTAAACAAACAGAGTACCTTGATTTGGAAATTGCAGCTCAAACTGGACAAATAAAAGCATAAACAGTGATTGTCATATGAATATTTAGGCAATTAAAACTCAGACTAAGAGCTAGCACTGTCGTCTAAACACATCACACTTACGAAGTCATCGAGCCTTCAAAGAAAAACTGCGAGGCAGGTACCAATATGGAACTCGTGAATGTGACCTAATTTGGAAAGGGAGTCTTTGCAAGGTCCTTCCGGATCTTGTGTTAGAACTGTTCTGGTGCAGGGTGGGCCCTCAACGCCGTGACAAGTGTCCTGATAAGGAGAAAGGCAGAAGGAGGGCTGAGCCCAGGGACCTGGGGAGCAGGGCCGTGTGAAGACAGCGGCACAGCCTAGAGCTGGACGGCAAGAGCCACAGAGCACCTTCAGCCATCAGAAGCTGGAGAGGCCAGGAGGGATTGCCCTGGTGGCCCTGGGAGGGGCCCTGCAACACCTGCTTCTGTGTCTCCTCCAGGACTGAGAGAGAATCAGTGACTTACTGTTCTTTCTAGTCCAGGAGCTGTCGTAGTCTTAGGAAGCTCATGCAGGCCACAGTCCATCCATTAGTAAGTCGCAACGGCTCAGTCTCCAGGATTCGTCCAGACCAATCGCCACCTCTGCCCCCACTGGCTACTGCGGACCCCCACCCCTCCTTCCCGGGCCCCCTCCCTCAGTCCTCGTGCTCGCTCTCCTCTCCCAGTGGTTACAGCGTGGTTTGACCTTAGTGTCGGACTTGGGCTGTCTCTGCTGAAACCCTCCTTGCGCTCCCCACGTCTCTCCGAATGGAACCCAAAGGTTCTCTAGAAGCCTCCTAGGCTGACGAGGACTGGGCCCCTGCCCTTGCTCACAGCCCCGGCTACCTTGCTGCTTTGCACACACCCGAAACACCTCCCCCCTGAAGTCTTTGCACCCTTCCCCTCCTGTCCAGGTAGCCGTAGGTCTGGTTCCTTCCAGGGCTGTGCTCAGATCTCTTCTCTTTGCTGAAGCCCCAGCCATCCATCATGGCCAAGGTGACTTATCCTAATTAGTCTGTATCACATCACTATTGATTTTCCTCAAAGCGCCCATCACAGAACGTAATTACTCTGTTTGTTTTCTTCTCCATTAGCCTCTCTCTCCTAATAAAAGGAGCAGACCTTGTCGGTCCTGTTCACAGCTGCGTTTCCAGTCGCAGTGCTCAGCACATCGCAGCCACTAATGAATATCTGTAGGGTGCATGAAGAAATCAGAGTAACTTATCGCTATTAAGGGTGTGAACCAAAGAGAATGGAGATGGTATCTACTTGAGCACCACCCCAAATCCCACTTTCTGTAGGGTAACCCAGAAGGCCGCCTACACACATTCTCAGTGCATGCGTTAAGAACCACCGCCACAGAGAGCAGACAACCCATGAGAGTTGCAGAACAAGGTCTGAAGTTAAGGCATCGTTAAATAGTGTGTAGTGTCCAGTGAAGTGTTTCAGAACGGCAACAGTGGTCAAGTTCAAGAAAGATTTAAAGTCAAATCTTTGGGTGGATTCTTGCAGGAAATTTGGGAACAGGAATGCTAACAATTTTTCATATATTCAACGCTCAGCAGTTTAAAAAGTGCTTTCATATGCTTTACTTTATTTGACTCTATTACCCAAGTTAAGGATGGTGGATAATCCTCCCATTCTACAGATGGAAATATGGAGACCAGGTGACCTGTACAAGGCTAGGTAACTGCACAACTGACATTAGGGCGGTCTTGGACCTGAATCAGGACTTCAGGATTCAAACTCTCTATTTTCCATACTGCATTCCATTCGTTGGTTATTAAATTGTGCATTACTGAACACCAATTATTGCAAGTGCTCTCTTAGATAGGACATATAAAGGAGTCGATAATCTTTGTCATCGAAGAATTTAGGGTGAATGTTTGGCACATCAGTAAAGACATCTCTTGGCATGCCCGGATCCCATGTTGGAAAACCTGGGTTCCAGTCCTGGTGCAGCTCTGATTCCAGCTTCCTGCTAATATGCACCCTGGGAGGCAGCAGGTGTCGGCTCAAGTACTTGGTTCCCTGTCACTCGTGTGAGAGACCGGCTGTTGTGGGCATTTGGGAACTGAACCAGTGGATGAGAGATCTCTGTTGCTCTCTCAAATAAATAAAGAAGACAACCAAAGAACGTGCGATATATGTTGTTGAAGGGAAAAAGTTAATAGAGCAGCTGCCACTCTGGTGCCCGCGCTCTCCCCCTGCAGACGTCCTGCGGGTCTTCGGAGACACAGAGGAGTGTCCCCGTTGTGCAGCCAGGTCCTGCCCGGAGTGGGCACTGGGCTGGGTGGCGGCGTCCGCCTCAGCCGCTTGCCGCGGACAAGCGAGCACACCCGGCAGCGAGGCTGTCCTCCGCGCGGGGGCTGCGCAGGGAGAAGCAAAGAGTGCTTGTAGAGGAAGCGGGCCGCCCAAGTCGGGATCTTTGGACCCAAACGCTCGGGAAGATCAAACCCGGGCGTGGCCGGACTCCCGGCGGGTGAATGGGCGTGGCTTGGTGCTGTGTGGGGCGGGGCGGGGAGGGGCGAGGGAGAGGCGGGGTGGAGGCGTGGCGAATCTAGGGGCGGAGTGGGGCGCTGTGTGGGGCGGGGCGTGGGCCAAGATGGGGCGGGGCGTAGGGCAGGCGGGGACGACGATTCCCAGGATGGGGCGGGGCGGGGCGGGGCGTGGGGAAGGACGGGGCGGGTCGGACAATGCGCGGGGCGGGGCGGGGCCGGCGACGTGGCAGGCGCAGGGCCTTGCGTCGCAGGCAGCCATCTTGGAGGCGGGGAAGCGCGCGGGGAGTTCTGGTCTGCATCTTCCTTGTCTGCTGCTACCAGCGGTGCTACACCCCGACTTCCCTGTCCCGCGCTGTGTAGACGCTGTGCAGGCGCTCGCCCGGGACTCCAGGTGAACGTCCTCCTGGCGCGGCGCGGGGACAAGGCGGGTGCTGGCTGGGCCCGGAGGGGTGCAGTCCCTGCAAGGTGGGCGGGCCGGCCGGCGTGCGGGGCGCCGAGGCCGTTCCGGGCCGCAGGTAGCCAGGTCCGGGCGGCGGCGGGCTGGGGTGCGCTCGGCCGGGCGAGCAGCCCCCGCCGCTGGCCGGGGTCCCTGCTCCCGGCCGGTGGCCGTGGCCGTGTGGCCCCACCTTCGGCGCGCTTGCGGCGAGTGCCCGCGGACCTTAGCCCGGCCCCGTCCGGCCTGGGGACGTGGCAGAGCCGCAGGGAGCCGCCGCGGGAGAGCCAGCCCTGACGAGGCCCCCGTCGGAGCCCGGCCGGCCTCTGGGTGCTCTCGGTGTCTTTGTTCGGAGTCGGGACCTGCCTCAGGCTCCTCGGCTGGACAGCCCGGCTCCCAGGCTGGCATCACCCACTGGCTGGGTGCCGCTCGCCGCTCAGCGCGGTCGTCCCGAGGGACGGCTGTCCGCTCTGCCCCCCTGACCTGTTTCTGCATCCCAGCCCCGTGCAGCTTGTTGAATTCCCTGAACACCGATGCGAGTCTGTCTGGGGTCGGATGAGAACGCACAGCCGAGCCTCCAGCCCTGGTGGTGGAGGCACCGTGCATCCGCGGTAATAACCGCTCTTGGTGCTGTGGAGGTTAGCGTGGGCCCAGTGTAGCGTTTCTTTCGAGGAGGAGCAGGGCCTGGCCGGAGGCCGAGGACTGTTTCGAGGGCATTTCCATCCCATCGCTCACGTTGGTGCAGTAGTACCGTCTCTGCTGAGCCTTGAGCCCTACACTCTTGACATACTCTGACGCTTCAGTGTTGTTTTGGCGTAATAGGTAATTTTTTAGTAGGAGGTGTTATGTTTATGCATGCAAAATTTACCTAGATGGGGCCGCCGCTGTGGCGGAGCGGGTGGAGTGTCGGCATCCCTTTGGGGCGCCGGTTCTAGTCCCAGCTGCTCCTCTTCCGACCCAGCTCTCTGCTATGGCCTGGGGAGGCAGTAGAAGATGGCCCAAGTCCTTGGGCCCCTGAACTCACGTGGGAGACCCGGAGGAAGCTCCTGGCTTCAGATCGGCACAGCTCAGGCCGTTGCGCCCAACTGGGGAGTGAACCAGAGGATGGAAGCCCCCCCCTCCCTCTCCCTCCCTCCCTCCCTCTCCCTCCCTCTCCCTCCCTCCCTCTCCCTCTCTTCCCTCTCCCTCTCTCTCCCTCCCCCTCTTCTCTCTCTCTGTAACTCTGACTTTCAAGTAAAATAAAATAAATCTTTAAAAAAAATGTACTTCGGCATTATCTTGAAGCCAGTTCTCAGAAGCTTTGAAAGGTGAAAGGAATTGATCGCTGATCTCAGGTTGTGGCTTCATTCTGCAGGTTCTTCGGCGAGGCATTTGCTAAGGGTGGGGATCAGGTTATCCACTAGCTGTTGTAAGATTGGGTAATGTCTGTGAATTACCCATAACAGATGAGATGAAGACAGGTGGCTTTGGTGGACGGTGGTGTAGGCCCTGGCGGGCTCTCTGAGTCAGGTGTTCTGCCTTTGGCTTACAGGTACTTAACAGCAGGATGTAGCCTCCCTGGACCCTGCTAGCATCCTTCCTTCACGTTTACAGCCTGTTTGAAAGCTGTGTGCACCCTGTGTAACCCGCGCTGCCCTCTCAGCAGGTTCTCTGGTTTGGAAAACCCCTTGCATCCTGCAGGTTGTAGGACCCTGTTTGGCTTCTCTGCAGCCTGTGGTCCCCCCCCCCCCTTCCCTGGAAGCACTGTTCTTTCAACACCGCCTTCTGCTGGGTGTCTTCCTTTCTTTCCGCTCATCTCATTCTCCGCAAGATCACCTCCTGTCTGACTGAAGCACTGGTTTTCAGTCATTTTCCCTCTTCGGGGTTAGTCTCTTCTCAGATAATCCCATTTCAGGACTGACTTTATTTTTTTTAATGATTTATTTATTTATTTGAAAGTCAGAGTTATACAGAGAGAGGAGAGGCAGAAAGAGAGAAAGAGAGAGAGTGAGAGAGAGAGACCTTCTATCCACTGGTTCACTCCCCAATTGACAGCAATGGCTGGAGCTGTGCTGATCCGGAGCCAGGAGCTTCCTCCGGGTCTTCCACGCGGGTGCAGGGGCCCAAGGACTTGGGCCATCACCTACTGCTTTCCCAGGCCATCACAGAAAGCTGGATTGGAAGAGGAGCAGCCGGGACTTGAACTGGCGCCCATATGGGATGCTGGTGCTTCAGACCAGGGCGTTAACCCGGTGTGCCACAGCGCCAGCCCCATGACTGAGTTTAGAGACTGTTAGAACACCGATGGCACCCACAATGGCGTGGTTTCTGAGCTCCGTGTGAGTCAGTGTGTTTGAAGGATCTTAAACTTAGCCTGTCAGGAAGTTGATCTGCTTTTCCAGAGAAAGGCAGCATCAAGCAGCACTGGTTCTTGCCTGTTCCCTCTCTAGTGAGTGCAGGTCATGCCTCTCCCCTCCGTGTCTCCTATCCTGGCAGTCACTGAGTTTGGCCACCTGACTTCTTCATCTCCACTGTCACCACCGTTGTCTAGCCTTGGCACTGTTGATGTCTGGAGCCAGATAACTCCGGTGGGTGGGGTGTGCGTGTATCTGCCAGATGGCAGTTGTACCCCTCTAGTTGTGACGACTAAAAAATGTCTGCGTGTTTTTCCAGGAGAGCCCTGGTGAGCATAGCCACTCCTGCCCTTTATGTGTTTGCTTAGTCCAGGTTGTTGCCACCTCCTCTTTGGGCTACTTCTGTCAATGTCCTTACGCTCTCACTGTGTCTGCTCTTGCTGCCCAGTGACACAGTCTACACACTTAGGTCAAAGCAGTATTTTTTTGTTTTGTTTTTATAGAGGCCGTTCTTTAAAGCTTTTTAAATAGAGAGAAATCCATCCATCATCTGCTGGTTTGCTCGCCAGATACCTGCAAAGCCTGGGCTGCGCTAGGCCAAAGCTAGGAGCCAGGAACTCAATCCAAGGCTCCCATGTGAGTAGCAGGGACCCTACTTGCATGGTTTCCTGCTGCCTTCCAGGATACACGTTAGCAGGAATGCTGGAGTCGGGAGAGGAGCCAGGACGCCCACCCAGGCACTCTGATGTGGGCTTCAGACATCCTGACTGGCGTGGTAACCGCTAGGTCAAGTGCCTGCCCCAAAGGAATCGTTTCAGAACACAGACACGGTTTACCAGTAAGTGGAATCAGCCTCAGGGTCCGTCAGCGGTGAATGAAGAAACTGACAGAACGGTGCAGTGGACTGCTACGATTCCACAATAAGAAGGAACCACCATTGGTGCATTCAGCAACTTAGATTGATCTGAGGGACGTTATACTGAGTGAAAAAGGGCAGTCTCAGAGGTGGCCTGTGCTGTGATCTGTTTCTGTTTCATATATGGAATCAATATGAGGAGGTTGCCAGTGGTGCAAATGTGTGGCAAAGGAGTGGGGGAAATTTCTCTGGAGTGATGGAGGAATTCTACATCCTGATTGTGGTGGTTGTACACGTCTGTGGGTAAGATGAAACCTCATGGAACTGTATACACACACACACACACACACACGCTTCCTGATTGTGGTGGTTATATAGGTCTGTGGGTATGATGAAACCTCATAGAACTACACACACACACGTCCTGATTGTGTGGTAGTTACACAGGTCTGTGGGTATGATGAAACCTCACAGAACTGTGTATACACACACACACACGTCCTGATTGTGTAGTTATACAGGTCTGTGGGGATAACAAAACCTCACAGAACTGTGTACACACACACACGCTTCCTGATTGTATGGTAGTTACACAGGTCTGTGGGTATGATGAAACCTCACAGAACTGTGTACACACACACACATACACACACACGTCCTGATTGTGTAGTTATACAGGTCTGTGGATATGATGAGACCTCACAGAACTGTACACACAACACACACACACACGCTTCCTGATTATGTGGTAGTTACACAGGTCTGTGGGTATGATGAAACCCCATAGAACTGTACACACATACACACACACGCTTCCTGATTGTGTAGTAGATACACAGGTCTGTGGGTATGATGAAACCTCACAGAACTGTGTATACACACACATACACACACACGTCCTGGTTTTGTGGTAGTTACACAGGTCTGTGGGTATGATGAAACCTCATAGAACTGTACACACACTCACACGGTCTGATTGTGTGGTAGTTAGGTCTGTGGGTATGATGAAACTTCATAGAACTGTGCACACACAAACACATGTCCTGATTATGTGGTGATTATACAGGTCTATGTGTATGACAGAACCTCATAGAAATGTATACATACATACACACATGTCCTGATTGTGTGGTAGTTATATAGGTCTGTGCATATGGTGAAACCTCCTAGAACTGTACACACACACGCATGTCCTGATTGTGTGGTGGTTTACAAGTCTATGTGTATGATGAAGCCTCATAGAACTGTGTGTGCACATGCACGTTATGATTTTGGGGTGGTTTTACAGGTCTGTGTATATGGTGAAACCTCATGGAACTCTACACACACAAATACAGTTCATGGAACTGTGTACACACACACACAGGTGAATAGTTAATAGTCAGATAGCAGTGGTTTGGATCATTATACTGCAATGTGTACGATGCTCTTACTGAGAGAGGTCGGGCTTAGAGTACTCAGGAGGTGTAGTATTTTTGAATCTTAAGAGTCTAAAATCTCATAATAGTTAAACAGAAGATGAATGTGTCACTCTCAGCTTGAATACACCCCAGAACTTTCTGTTCTTAAGAAACCCAGCTTCTTGCCCCGACTTACAAAGGCCTGGGAGAGCTGGGCTCCTCCTGCCCATCTCTGTTCCTTGCCACCTGAGTGTGCTTGGATGCGTCTTGCTGCTTCTGACCTGCGGGGCTTTGCACCTGGTGCGTTCACTCTGGCCCCTGCCTCCCTTATCCTCTGCCTGTGGCTAATTAAGTTGTGCTTCTCCTTCAGATCTCAGCCAGCTGTGACTTTCTGGGAGCTCTTTCCTGACCGCCAAGCCGAAATCAGTCCTGTTGAGCCGAGCTCTTCCCTCAGAGGGTGTGATTGGGGCTGCGCTGCCTTGTGCACTGGGGTTATTTGATTGTTTCCTGTGCTGGAGTGTGAGAGTTCTGTTTGTTGTTACCCCCTATTATGTTTGCAGCAGCACCAGGATAGAGTTTGGCCAGCGGTTGACCTTTACTGAGCATTTGTTAGATGAGTTCATACCGCAGAAACGAATTCGCCAAATTAGAAGTTGGAGTTATACTTGAGATGAACTGGAAAATCTGCAGTTTTTAAGGAAGTTGTCCTGTGTTTTGTCATCCGTTATCATCGGTTCGGACCCTGCTGTCCAGCGGCATTTGTTCTGTAGTTAAGGTTTCTGAAACCTGAGACGTATCATTTAGCTGTTCCTGGGTGGGCTTTAAAATACGAACTGGGAGAACTGGGAATCAATGCATGTATCAAGTCAAGCACGTTTTATTGTTGTGTTACATGGAGAAGCTCACATGTAAAAGGTTATGAGGGAAGAGAGTTTCAAAAATACATTAAATATTTTGTTTACTTTTAAATATAATAACAAGTCTAGACAGAGCTTTAACGTAAACTCATCTGGCAGAAATCACAGTAGTAATTTCCTATTTGAAATACATTGGATAACTAATATTATAGTTAACAAAATTATTTCCCATTTATAAAGTGTGAATATGGAAATATCACAGACTGCTTACATATTAAATATTCTACTTGACTGGTAGGATCTTTGACAAATGAATCGTCTAGAAATAAATTACAATATAAGCAGTAAAGCAGACATTTGTTTCTTTATGATGATTTTTTAATTGTTCTTTATACAGGCTTTAAAAATGCACTTTTTGTAACTATATAATATTTATGACATTTTGATATTTTTGCAGTACATTGTAATTAAGGAAAAATGATGGAAGAGAGTGGAATAGAGACAACACCACCTGGGACTCCTCCCCCGAACCCTGCGGGCCTGGTTACCACTGCTGTGTCTCCCAGCCCAGTTCCTTTAGGTACTGCAGTTGTCTTAACATCTGTGTGTTTGCAGCAGAGTGAGATGCTGGGCATGCATGTTCTCCAACTTTTCGGATCTTTGTCGGGATGGAGGGAAATAGTCTTTTTCGTCTAAAGAATAAAAACAAATAGTGTTTTTGTTTAAGTCGAAAAATGTGTTTTGCTTTAGGTAGACTTTTATTCCTTATATTCATATTGACTGTACATCTTCTGTCTCTTACCACAACAGAGTATCTAAAAGTCCTGTGCTAGGTTTGTTCTGTCTTGTGATTTGATTAACCTTTTTCAGCCTTAGATTTTTATATTCACACGAGGGATGAAAAATGGCTTTATTTTATTAAAAACATACTGAAACAAATAAGCCAACAACTAAGATCTACTTGATGAACAGGGTCATAATTTAAGTTCATGTAGCTGTTTCCTTGTAGGAGTCATTTGCACTCAACCATATTTACTGCATATTTTAAATTAAACATTTATAGTTGTTCCTGGGGATGTGGCCTGTTCACTTTTTAAAATTTGTGAGAACAAAATCACGAGAAAACTAAGTAAAGAGCATCTCCGATATTTTCCTCACGTCCTCTCTCTTGTTTGTTCTAGCTGCGACCAGTTCTTTTCCCTCTGCGAACGTGTCCACTCTGGAGTCCTTGCCGCCGCACGCCTACTCGACCCCTCAGCCGTCCCTGGCGCCCGTCAGGCCCTCGGCACCCTTACCTTTTGTGCCTCCTTCCCCGGTTCCGTCTGTCCCCCCACTAGGGACTTCAGTGCCACCTCCTGTGTCCTCGGCGCCTGCTGCTGCCTTCAGTCATGCTCCTCCGTTCCACTTCCCACCTTCAGCGTCTGCTCCCAGTGCCCTTCTACCCGCCCCCGCTCCGGGTCCGCCTACATCAGGGTTTTCTGTTGGTGCGACCTACGACATTACGAGGGGCCACGCCGGCAGAGCCCCGCAGACGCCCCTCATGCCGTCCTTCTCCGCACCTCCGGTGACAGGTAATTCTCACTCGTGAGGAAACACGGCACTCCAGGTAGTGTCGCGTCTTTAAAAGTGGACAGCATTTTTGAGGTGTAATGCGCATATCATACAGTCCATCCGTTTAAAGTGTATCGCTTAGGGTGGGCATTGGCTGGCGGCTAAGGTGCCACATGAGAAGCCTGTGTTCTGTGTCGGAGTGCTGGGTGCGAGTCCTGCCACAGTTCCAACTCCAGCTTCCCGCTGTTGTGGACTTGGGAGGCAGAGGTCATGGCACAGGTATTTGGGAGTCTGTCACTCACATGGGGCACCTGACGGGATTCTGGGCTCCTGGCTCAGCCTCAGCTGTTACAGGTATTTAGAGAGAACCAGTGGATGAAAGATCTCTCTCTCTCTCTCCATCTCCCTGCCTTTCAAATAAAATAAAGATTGGAAAAAATACTATGCATAATTCAGTAATTGTCTATTTACAGAGTTGTGCATCCATTACCCTAGTCACTTTTTTGAGAAGGCTTATTTCATTATTCATTTTATTTATTTATTTATTTGAGAGAGAGAGAACACACACTCCCACTTGATACGTTTCCTGCTGCCTCTTAATGGTGTGCAGTAGTGGGAAACTGGGATGGAGCGTGGAGCCAGGACTTGAACCCAACACTCCTATTACGCCCTACTTTGCCTGATCCTCATAGCCCTAAGCAACCACTGATCTACTTTCTGTCTGGACTGGCTTATTCTGGGCACTTCATACAAAAGGAATCATGTGATCTCTGATAACTGACATCTTAGAGTATTTTCAGACTTTGTCCACTTGTAGAGTGTGCCAGCACTTCATTCCTTTGCAAGGCTAAATAATATTCCAGGGTATGAATAGATCATGCTGTATCTGTTGAGCAGTCGGTTTTGGTTCATTCCACTTTTTCGTGGTTTGGATAGTGCTGCTTCATATACCTGTGGGCAGGTCTGTGTGTGGATGTGTTTCCATTTCTCTTCAGTATATACTTGGGCCTGGAATTACTGACTTCTATGCTACTCCTATGCTACTTGAAGACTGCCCAACTTTTCCAAAGCAGGTGCACCATTTTACTTTCTCATTAGCGATGTGCGGTGGTCCTGTTATTTTTATTTGTTAAAAGTTTTGTATATAGGGCCGGCACCATGGCTCACTTGGCTAATCCTCTGCCTGTGGTGCCAGCACCCCAGGTTTGGGGCGCCAGTTCTGTCCTGGTTGCTCCTCTTCCAGTCCAGCTCTCTGCTGTATCCCGGGAGTGCAGTGGAGGATGGCCCAAGTGCTCGGGCCCTGCACCTGCATGGAAGACCAGGAGGAGGCACCTGGCTCCTGGCTTTGGATCAGTGCAGCGCGCTGGCCATAGCAGCCATTTAGGGGGTGAACTAATGGAAGGAAGACCTTTTTCTCTGTTTCTCCCACTGTCTAACTCTGTCTGTTAAAGAAAAAAAACCAAACTTTGTATATAATTAGCATGGGAGGTATCAGAAAAAACTCCAGCATTTTGTCCTAACATCTGTACACTTATAAACGGCAAGGTGAAGTCTGAGTGTTTTTCAAAGCTTTGCTTAAAAAATTGTCAAGGCTGACTAGTGTCATTTACCCAAGTGTGCCAAGACTTGGTGATCCTGGGTCAGTTACTTCTATTATATTCTTTTTTTTAAGATTTATTTATTCAAAAAGCAGAGTTACAGAAAGAGAAATGGAGTGACAGAGAGTAGTCTTCCATCTGCTGGTTCTCTCTCCAAATTGCCACAGCAGCTGGAGCTGGGCCAGTCCAAAGCCAAAAGCCAGGAGCTTCTTCTGGGTCTCCCACGTGGGTGCAGGGGTCCAAGTACTTGGGCCGCCCTCCATTGCTTTCCCAGGCACATTAGCCCGGAGCCAGATCAGAAGAGAAGCAGCCGGGACTTGAACCTGTTCATATGGGATGCTGGAGCTGCAGGCAGTGGCTTTCCTGCTGTGCTGCAAGTTTGGCCCCATTTCCACTTTCTGCTTATCTGGAATGATTATTGGAAACCAGTTGTCAAAACTTCATCTCACCATCTCCTTCCTGTTGTTTCTTATGTTAGGGAACAGAAACAACTTTGTTGCAATTTTTATGAATTTAATTGTGCTTACCTACCTTTACACATAAAATACATTGAGAGTACAAGTTTTGCATCCCTGTCTTAGTATATGTGAATGTAGGTCATGCTTTTATATGATGAGTTTGGCTGCTTCATATTTTTGTAGATTAAAGAGATTAGAGGGGTTGCTGTCCACATTCAGCTGCTGAATGGGACAGACATGATGAACTCCTTGATATAGATGTTTTTGTCAATCTTTAAAACCCTTGATGTAAGCTTGTATTAAAGAAAATGAATTTCTTCTTTGGAATTCTATTTAATTTGCATTTTGTACAAGCCTGGGTGATTCTTTGAGTTTATAACTTAATCTTGAAATGCCTCAGTATAGGTTACATTATTAAGGCTGTTAAGCCACTCATCTTGTTTTATGTCATCTTTTGATAGGACAAAGTTTATAGAATAAATTACACATATTAAAATTTTTACCACTGACTAGGTATTTTGCCAACTCCCATTACTCAGCAAGCCAGTTTGACATCTGTGGCCCAGGGAACTGGAACCACATCAGCCATAACTTTCCCAGAGGAGCAAGAAGATCCTAGAATCAGTCAAGGCCAGGATGAAGCATCTGCTGGTGGAATCTGGGGTTTTATTAAGGTAAGAGGCATTTACTTTTAAAATTACTTTTGATTTTCAAAATACAAAATAGTGTAAGGAAAAAGTAAAAGTCCTTTTTATTTTCATTACCAGTTTCCCATGGTCTTTTGTCTGTGTATCTATGTAGATATACCTGTTCATTTAATAAAAAATCAAATTGCAAAAGTGACATGCAGACATTATTTGGTGGGTTTTTTTGGGAGGGCTGGGGGATGCACCTAGCAGATACCGTGAACATCTTCTCAGTCATAAAATATTGTTCAGAATGGTATGCTGTTTTAATGGCTACAGTGCTGTGTATGCTGTCACATTTTTATGTGTTTTACTTTGCAAATGTGTTGTTTTCTAGTTTTTAAAAATTGTGGTTGAGAAACAGAAATTAATTGTATTGTGCACAGCAGGATGTTTAGAAATTATGTGTTGTCCAGTGTTGAATTGAACTACTTAACATATGCATTACCTCACATACTTAGATATTGTTGTAGGAAAACTTAAAATCTGTACTCTCAGTGATTTCCAGGAATACAATATGTTATTAATTATAATTGCCTTATGGTGCAGTAGATCTCTCTGAATTACAATTGTTATCCCCAAAACTGTGATGGGAGCTCTTGTATGTAAATGTTTACGGGCATCTCTGTTTCATCAGGATTAATTATTATGATGATGGTGTTCTTAGAGTGAGTGAGTATATATTAATTTGTTTCCTGCAGGGTGTGGCTGGGAATCCTATGGTGAAATCTGTGCTTGATAAGACGAAGCATTCGGTTGAAAGTATGATTACAACGCTGGACCCTGGCATGGCTCCATATATCAGTACGTGCACGAGTTAGATCAGTGTGTGCTGTAGTCTTTTCATGTATGTGTCAGTGTCAGCCTGGCATTGTAACTCTCATTTCTGATGATCATGTGGTCAGTAGAAATTCTTCTTAGATTCTTGCACTACGTTATCAGTCTAGTATTTGTTGCTATTAATTCATCTTTTTCTGAATTACCATAAAAATTTTGAAAACTCAATGAACTTTGGAAGAGTAAAAACAATATGAATTATTAGAATACTTAATGACTTTAATCGTTAGTTTTTTAAATTTTTGTTGTTGTTGTTTACTTGAAAGGCAGAGGTAGAGAGAGAGAGAGAGAGAGATCTTCCATCTACTGGTTTGCTCTCCAAATGGCTGCCACAGCCGAGGCTGGGCCAGGCCAAAGCCAGGACTCTGGCACTCCGTCTTCTTCTGTTGCCCTCTCAGGCACGTTAGCAGGGACTGGATTGGAAGTGGAGCAGCTGGGACTTGAACCAGAGCTCACAAGCGATCCCGGATTTGTAGACATTAGCTTTACCCGCTACACCACAACACTGGCCCTGCCTTTGATCGTAAATGGGAGTTGGGGTTGATTCATGTGGCTTTTACTTTTTATTCCCTGTTGACGTTTGAAGCAATACCTTGTTTATGCTTCTTTTGATGTTTATCGTGTTATGCTTAATTCAGGAGTAATGTTTGAGAGGACCTTAGTCTAGTGATGACTTCTAGCTGATCCCTGGGTTTGCCGGGGTAGCTGTCTTAACTGCTTTTGAGACATCGTCAAGAATTCTCCAGGCAGCCGACATAGAGATATTGTCTGCTATATAATTTTTAATGTACATATTTAATATGTTTAAAGACTGTAGCACTTTTCGAGACCAACGACCAATTCTGAGTAATGCTACAGAAGACAGTTTACAAGCCAGAGTCGTGCAAGGTGCCCGAGCAGCTTCTCAGTGTCAGTCACAGGCCAGCGCTTTCGTGAGTCTGGGCTGTGTTAGTTTACAGTACAGCAAGGTCAGAGGACCAGGAGGAGCAGTGAGGAAGGTTTGTTCTGCCAGGCCAAAGTGCTGCGGGGTAGATTTTCTTCTCCTTGAGTTTTGAATGAGAAACCTGAGTTTGGAGAGAGAAGTTGCCATCCTAGGTGGCACAGCTTGGTGGAGCTGGATTGAACCCACATTCAAGATTTTTACATTTTGGTTCCCTTGAAACAGAAAATTGAATCAACAATTAAATTAACTGAATTGGTCTTTGTGCTTATAACTTTGTAAGGAATTCATAAGTGGGACTCTTTTCTAAATATTGATCCCATATATTCATAAGAAGCAAGTATTACATACTTAATGTGTCATATTTGATTTTCTTTACAGTATTTTGAATGAAGGAAGAGAAAGACTTAATTTGTTTTTGTTGTTTGAAATACAGAATTATAAAGGGAGAGGGAGAGAAAGTGAGGTCGTCCATCTGCTGGTTCATTTCCCAAATGAGCACAGTGGCCAGGCCAGTCCAAAGCCAAAGCCAGGAACCAGGAGCTTCTTCCTGGTCTTCTACATGAGAGCAGGGGCTCAAGCAGGGGGGGCCATCTCCACTGCTCTCCTAGGCACATCTCAGGGAGCTGGATCAGAAGTAGAGCAGCTGGGACTCAAATCAACACCTACATGGGGGGCTGGTATGCAGGTGGCTGCTTAACCTGCTGTGCCACCATGCCATTCCTGCCAGCCCACAGGAATTAATATTTTTGAACCTCTTGCCGGTGTAGTGAGTGTTTCTTGTTAGAATATGAAAGTACTGATCTTATCATCATTTTAGAACAAGTCCTATAAGGTAGCAGGTATTTTTCTGCAAAGAAACAAGCTGTGTTGACGCAAGCCAGTGATTTCTGTAACATTAAGAAAAAGGCATAAAACCAAAACCAAAAAAGAAAGACAGAGAAATGAAATTTCTGTCAGTAGCAAATTTCTATTAGCAAAAGCAGTAAAACTGAGTGTGAAAGAGCTGACACTTTACTGATAGAAAATCTGCTAACAAAACTCAAAGTAAAACTTTGGTGGTATTTTTTTATGTGGTATGTTCTAGACAGTTAATGTACCAGTTTCACAGGTATCCAGAAACACAAAAACCACTAGAAAAGGATTTTGGTTTTCTCCGTTCTTCTGATTCTCCCTTCATGAGCCAAAGTCGAAAGCCTTTTGGAGCTGAAGCTTAGTAGGGCAGTCCCGAGGGTCGGGAGTGATGTCCCACCTGGAGGATAACACCAGAAACAAGCTTGGGCTTCCTCTTCTGTCCTGTGTAACCCCTCGCTTTTAGTTTTTGATAACTTCTGAAATTTAAGGTAAAGGCGTGATCTGTAGAACATTATGCCAGTTAGGAAAATGGATCCATGATTAAAAAAAAAATAATTGGCAGCTACCACCAAATGTTAGGTTTAAGTTTTAAAAAACGATGTAACACATTTGTTCTTATTATTCTGGCTGGAAATAATTGTGCACAGTGTTTTAAATAACTGAAAAATATAAAGTTTGAAAATATTTTTACTTCACATTACATCATCTTTACCCTTTTAATTTTCAAAATTTCAGTATTTATGCTTCTGTATTTTAATATAATTTATACATAAATGTTTATGGCCTTTGCCCTTTTATTTAAATGATGTGAATGTATAAAAAAAAAACTTGACCTCCACATTTATTTTATAGATAAAAATATTTCATAGTAGTCCTTATTAATCACATAATTTCTGTATAACTCTTATTTTTTAAAAAATTTTATTTATTTATTTGAGAGGCAGAGTTACAGACCGAAGGAAGGACAGGGAGAAAGGTCTTCTATCCATTGGGTCAGTCTCCAAATGACTGCAACAGCTGGAGCTGAGCCAATCCAAAGGCAGCAGCCAGGAGTTTCTTCTGGGTCTCCCACGTGCTTGCAGAGGCCCAAACACTTGGGCTGTCTTCCACTGCTTTCTCAGGCCATAAGCAGAGAGCTGGATTGGAAGAGGAGAAGCTGGGACTTTTGAACTGGCACCTACATGAAGTGCTGGTGTGGCAGGCAGAGGCTTAGCCTACTGTGCCACAGTGCTGGCTCCTGTACAGCTCTTTAAAATTTTTTAAAATTTATTTTGGAAGGCAGAGTTATAGAGAAAGAGAGGAGAGACGGAGAGAGATCATCCATTTCCTGGTTCTTTCTCCAAATGGCTGCAGTGGTCAGATCTGGGCCAGGCTGGAGCCAGGAGCTTATCTGGGTCTCCCACATGGGTGGCAGGGGCCCAAGCACTCCGGCTATCTTCTGCTGCTTTCCTGGGCATGTTAACAGGGAGGTGGATCAAAAGTGGAGCATCCGGGACATGAACTGGTGCCCATATGGGATGCTGACATCGCAGGCGGCAGATTAACCCACTATGCTGCAACTCCAGTCCCTTGTACAGGTCTCTCATAGATTACTTCTCTTCAGTAAGAGTGTTCATTTTCATTTTCCATGGAGTATCTGAAATGTGGAACTTATGCTTCACAATGAGATAATAAGTTTCCGTGATTACTCTGTAGCTGGAGGACTGGAAACTTGTATCTACATGATGTGAAAAGTTTGCATTTAATGAATGTCTGTGTGCGTTAGCCAATAGCAGGAAAGCCATTTTGATTTGCAAGCTTAAAAATGCAATAAATCTGTCTATCCAAAGTGTAGATGAATGAGACAATGGAACTTGGGTGAGTTAATAGAGCAGTATAGTAGACATAGCTGTTTTTCATGTCCTTTTAATGTTATTACATCATTTCCCAAACTGGTAGGGTTGGGTCACTTTCTGATAGCCGTTATTGGATGCTGAAGATACACTCCATGGACAGATGAAATGTGGAAATACTAGGCTGAAGTCAGGATTGTGGTTCTCACAGTCCGTGATCTGTTAATACGCATTTTGAGTTTGCAGGAAAGAAGCATATTGTCCAGTATTTTCCAAGGTTACTTGGCAAGGGAGGGCTGTTTGCAGGCAGAGCTGCTAATATATTCTGGAGCAGTGTTTCACAGAACGCAGGAGAATTGTGGTCTGTTGGGGGAGTTAGGATACTCAGAACCACTGGCAGTGCGTGCCGTCTGCTGCTGGCAGCCCACACTCCCTCAGACAATGCACTGAAAATCAAAGAGCAGTGCCACGTCAGGGCTGAGCGCCTGTTGAATCAGGTGCTGTGGGAAGAGAGGGTGGACAAGTGCCTGCCTGTGTCAGGGTGTGGGAAGAGGTGGACTTCAGGACCCGGCTGACCCAGGTGCGAGTCCCGCCATTGGCACCAAGTGGCTCCATTACTTTGGGTGAGACTGTGCCACCCTCAGTTTCTTCAGTCACGCGGGAAGGGTGATGATCTCTGTCTTGCTTGGTTTATGAAGTTGAGAATAATCGGATGTAAACTGTTAGCTCATGGTACAATAGTATGAGAATTGCATTATTTTGTTTGGAATTGAAATTTTTTCTTGGTGTTTTCAGAATCTGGAGGTGAACTGGATATCGTTGTGACCTCAAACAAAGAAGTGAAAGTCGCTGCCGTCCGCGACGCCTTCCAGGAGGTCTTTGGCTTGGCTGTGGTTGTAGGGGAAGCTGGACAGTCCAACATCGCCCCACAGCCCGTGGGCTACGCAGCGGGACTGAAGGTAGGCGTGGGGCCCGGTGTGGGACGTTCAGACTGGAACCGAAGGTTTTCCCAGTCGTGCTAACGGTCTTGTGGTCTGTGTGCACTAAGGGGTGTTTGTATGGACAGAGAATGGTCAGCCTTGCTTCTAGTTAGAGGGTTTGTAGTATGATGTAAATAGGGGGGAGTTTTCATTTACAGAAATCTAAGTTAGATTTTGGTTATTAGGGCAGGAAAACAAACACCCAGAGAGCTTAAAAAGAGAGTGGTTTGTCCTAAAAGAGATCTTCATCCGTTCTTCACATGCTAATCTGTTACAGAAAGGGAATAGCCTTTGAATTCATAAGCTTTTATCACCACTCTTACTAACATTTGAGGTTCAGGACTTGTGCTCTCTCTGTGCTTGGCTTTTTTTTTCTTTGTTTCCTTAAGAAACGAAAGTACAGGAAGCTCCAAGCATGTCTTGGGTCTTTGCTCCGCCGCACTCACTGCCTGTGTGCTTCCTCTCACAGCAGAGCTCCGAGAGTTGCGCGCACTTTTCCGTATTCCTCTCTCCACCTCCCTGGGCCCTCCCGTCCAGCCAGACCCTGGCTCTCAGTGTTCCGCCAGTGACGCCCATCCTGGCGGACCCCTCAGTGGCTTTCGAGACCGTTTTCCTTCCTCCTCTCAGTCTTTCTCCGGTTGCTTCCAGGATCGCACACTTTGGTGTTTCCCTGCTTCTCCCGTTGGCTTCCAGGATTGCACACTTCAGTGTTTCCCTGCTTCTCCCGTTGGCTTCCAGGATTGCACACTTCGGTGTTTCCCTGCTTCTCCGGTTGGCTTCCAGGATCCCACACTTTGGAGTTTCCCTGCTTCACTGCGGGCTTGCTCCTTCTGGGCTTCCCTTGCTGCTTCCCGCTCGTCTGCCCAGCTCCTGCCGATCTCCTGGGTCCTCTCATCTGTTCCAGGGTGTTAAATGCCGTCCGCTGTGTGCTGCTGTCTCCACCTGACGTCGCTTGTAAACCCTTGACTCGCGTAACACTTACCTCTTGGTCAGCGTTGCAGTATGTCACAGTCTTTGAATATTGTGTTTGAATATCTCAGACAGAACATATCTAGCACTGAACCATGCTTTTCCCTGCAGCCTGCCCTACCCAGCCTCCTCCGTCTCGTCTGAGGGCAGCGCTGACCTTTGTTTTCTCAGGCCAGAAGCCTGGAGCCGTCCCTGACTCCCCTCATTACGTGTTTCTAACCCAGGAAGAGATTCTGCCTGCAGGATGGACAGTTCTTACTTTACATCATAGTTAGGTTTCTTTCTCTCTCTTTTTTTAAAGATTTATTTATTTTACTTGAAAGTCAGAGTTACACAGAGAGAGGAGAGGCAGAGAGAGAGAGAGAGAGAGAGAGAGAGGTCTTCCATCAGCTGGTTCACTCCCCAACTGGCTGCAGCAGCTGAAGCTGCACCAATTTACAGCCAGGAGCCAGGAGCTTCTTCCAGGTCTCCCACGTGGGTGCAGGGGCCCAAGCACTTGGGCCATCTTCCACTGCTTTCCCAGGCCACAGCAGAGAGCTGGACAGGAAGTGGAGCAGCCGGGTCTAGAACTGGTGCCCATATGGGATGCCGGTGCTTCAGGCTGGGGTGTTAACCTGCTGCGCCACAGTGCTGTCCCCCATAGGTTCTGCGAGGTCACTGCAGACCCTGAATTTGTGAAAACCGAACCATTACTCCCAGAGTAAAAACATGGTTAGGCCCATCTAGGTCTCTGTGACATTTTTACCAAAGAGGCAATACGTCTCAGTGTTTCATGTCTGCCTCTGTGTGTGTGTGTGTGTGTGTGTGTATTTAACTCCTCTGCTGCCGCTCTGAAGCACGCATGTCTTCTCTGGGAGGTGTGTCTCCACAGCGTCTTGTGTTTAGGAGCCCTAGACAGCCCTTGAGTGAAGCATCCATGTCAAACTCAGGGAGCTGGAAGAGCAGTGCTGAGTAGACTGCGGAAGGCCACCTGTGTGCAGTACACAAGCTGAACAAGGGGCCAGGCTGTGGCCTCGTTGAGCCTCAGGCAGAATTGACGTCTAGCTCTGTGCTTGTCTCGGTCAGATTCACCAATCCGGAATCCACAAGTAACGAAGATCATCTGGCTTTACAGAGAAGTGCATTCCGCTAGGACAGTGTTGTTTCACATAAAGGAATTTATAACAGCTCACCTTTACTGGGAGTGTCTGTGAGCTCCAGCCAGGCATTGTGTTTGTAATACAGGTAAAGCATTCGATGAGGTGATTGACATAGTGTACTTCATTGGGAATATAGTCCATTGAACTGATTGTAGGTAGTCACTAAACGTAAACCCTTATTGCTATTTGCTATTAGATCCTTTTTATTTATTTTAAAATATATTTATTTAACTTCATCTACTTGAAAGATAAACCAACAGAGAGGGAGGGAAACAAAAGAGAGATTTTGCATCTGCTAGTTCATTCCCAGCCAGGGGTGGGCCAGGGGGAAGCCAGGAGTGAGGAACTTCACTGGGGGCTCCCATGTGGGTGGCAGGGCCTGAACACTTGCACCATCGTCTGCTGCCTCCCAGGCTGCACCAACAGGAAGCTAGATTGGATGCCGAGTAGGCGGGACTCAGACCATGCTGGCACTCTGGGAATGGGATGCGGGTGACCCAAGTGGTGGCTTCACCTGCTGCACCACAGCGCTCACCCCTAGATGAGTGTTCAGTCTACCAGACAGTGCTGTATGAATTTGATGTGCTTTTCCAGGTATTTTTAATACCTTAAATGGAATGTGAAGCTGTTTTCACACACATGTGTACATACACACAAAGCTCTTCTGAATTTGGAGCATTTGGCAACAGTGAGGCGGTGTAGACGTATTACGTACAAGATGAATTGAGGTACACGTTTCCTGCCTTTTAGCTTGTCATGGTAGCCTGTGCTTTCCCATAGAGCAGTGCTGCCAAAGCTCGTGCGTTTTGAAATGTTTCTCATCCCTGGGGCTTTCCCTCGCATCTGCCTCCCCATGTCCGTGTCCTGTAAGGTTGCTGTGCTGGCGTTTGGTCTTAGTAAAATTCAGCAGAGCTAACTGGTGGCTGTCGAGTTTAATCAGGGTCATCTAGAAATAAAAAATTAGTATGATAGATGAATAAAATAAATATGCAAAAAAATAAATGAGTCAGTCATGCACAAGGTAAATCGTGTTTGGATGATTTTTATTTGAAAGAGTAGAACAAAACATAGATTGAAATTTTAAAAATTTCAGCAGTGTTTTTGCAAAATGGAAAACTGGGAAGGAAGTGTTTTCAGAACTTAGTTTTTGAGGGTAACCTGAGGAAAATCGTAAGATACGAATAGGTTATTGTACAAAGACGCTGGAGAGCGTCCTTGCGGTTAGAGACTAAAGCAGGGACTTTGTAAATCGTGACTCATGTCAGCATGGTGTGGGGCTCGTGTTCATGTTACTTTTTAGAAAGGGTGGAAAGTAACTTACCGGTTTAATTCTCTAGTAAAGGCTGCGTAAATTTGAGAGGTTAGAACTTGGAATTGTTTATTTGGAGTTAGGATTTGTGGCTTTCAGGGTCAGGGTGAGGGTCTGGGTAAGGGTGGTGGAGACAGGCGGGCAGAGCGAGCCTGCAGTGCTGTGGTTTCAGTTACCGGGAAAGGTGACTGAGTGCTCCGGTGAGAGTCACCAGGACCATGGACAGAGGGGGAACGTGAAGCATGTTTAAGAGGATGATATTTACATTAACTTTGAAGAGAAGGACAAAGTTCATTAAGTTTTTTCAGTGCCAATGAAAATGAGTTGAGATAACTGGCCATTTCGAGAACCTGCTTTATTATGGTGATTCTTAAAATTCAGACTTTCAGTATTTTGTTAGATTGGGTGTGGTAGATTGTTGTGTAGGAGAGATTCATTAGGGGTATCGGGGCCAGTGTTGTGTAGTGGTAAAGCACGCCCTGTGACACCAGCATCCCATACAGGCACTGATTTGTGTCTCGGCTGCTCCGCTTTCTATCCAGCTCGCTGCTAATGGCCTGGGAAAAGCAGCAGAAGATGGCCCAGTGTTTGGGCCCCTAAAGCCACGTGGGAGATCTGGATGAAACACCTGGCACAGTGCTGGCTGTTGTGGCCATCTGGGGAGTGAACCAGCAGATGAAAGATCTCTCTGTCTCTCCATCTCTGTAACTCTGACTTTGAAATAAATAAGTAAATCTTTAAAAAAATTAGTTAGTATTGACCTGAAAAGGCTGATAGGGATTCTTTTCCTCAAGAAACACCTTTATTTGCAGGTCTTTATTGCTAGTTCAGTTTATGATTTTTTAAAAAAGATTTATTTGACAGAATTACAGAGAGACGGGCGGGGGGGGGGGTCTTCCATTCACTGGTTCACTCCACAGATGGCCATAATAGCCCGAAGCTGTGCTGATCCGAAGCCAGGAGCCAGGAGCTTCTTCTGGGACTCCCACGTGGATGCAGGGGCCATAGACCACTGCTTTCCCAGGCCATAGCAGAGAGCTGGATCGGAAGGGGAGCAGCTGGGACTTGAGCCACTGCCCATACGGGATGCTGGCACTGCAGGTGGTGGCTTTACCTGCTACGCTACAGTGCCCGCCCCTTGTTTTATGATTTTCATAGCATATGCAGATTTGTTTTTATGGTTTATTTTTGTCCAAATTTAGACATGTGTGTTCTTTTTCCACAATCTTTAATAAAAGCTTGGAAGGTCTTAGAAATTTGACAGCTGTTTGCTTTTCTCAGAAACAGTAGAGGGCGCTAATGAGATGAAAAAAAATTACAGATCGTGGTATGATTCAGAAACAGTAGAGGGCGCTAATGAGAAAAAATAATGCAGATCACGGTATGAGAATTTTATCCTGTTTTTTTCCCCTCTCCCCATCAGATTTTTGAATTCCATGACTTTTCTGAACTAAATTTAATTTGTCCTTTAAACATGAAATTAAGTAAATAGTTCAGCCAAAATTCAAGTTAGGAAGTTTCTGAAACTTTTCTCATGCCCATTTTATTGGAAAGTCATTTTTATGGCTGTGGTTTTGTATCTTACATTCAACAAGTAAAAGCTAGTGAGTATCTACATGCATTTTGAAGATACGTAGCATTTAAGTTACTCATCAGAACCGAGTGGCCAGCATAGGCTCTTGGGTGCGGTGTGAGTTCTGGGGGCCTGTCTGCTGCACTGCAGTTCTGAGACAGATATTTCATTGTCCTCCCTGCTGTTTCCTGATCCCTTATACTGCTAAGAAATACAACCCCATTCTCAGAACCGTGGGGAGTAGTAGTTACGGAGTGTCAGTTGACCCTGATACTATAGGGTCTGCATTTGTTCTTCCAAGAGAGGTCACATTTCATGGGTGTGGCACTTAGAGGAAAAGAGAAACCAAGTGGAGCCTCATCTTCCTTTTCTCTCCTGTATTCCATAAACCAAGGAAGAATTAAACTTATCTCCCTGCCTCTTCATTGTCTCTTCATTGGGTACCAATTAATTAAAGGTTTTGTGACTCCTCTAACATATAAAGCCCTGAGTACTATAGCATAATAAAAATGAGTGTGCATATTTTTTTCCATAATACACATATTCATGAATTTTTTTCCTTAAAGGTTTATTTTTATTTGAAAGGCAGAGTTAGAGACAGAGAGAGAGAAAGAGAGAGAGAATCTTCAATATACTGTGCACTTCCCTAATGGCTGTAGTGGGCAGGGTTGGGCGCCAACGCTAGGAGCCAGGAGCTTCATCCAGGTCTCCCATGTGGGTGCAGGGGCCTAATCACTTGGGCCATCTTCTGCTGCTTTCCCAGGCACATAGCAGGGAGCTGGATCGGAAGCAGTACAGCTGGGACTGGGACTGGTGCCCATATGGGATGCTGCCAGCAGCTTTACCCACTATACCACAACACTGGCCCTCCATGAGCTTTTTGAAGATCCCTTATATGCATGCTTTTCAAAATTTTTTGTACCAGAATGCTTATCTTTTAATTGTTTTCCATGACGTTTTTGAAGTTTCCTCATATATTTTTTGCATAAATGTGGGCATGTATTACTTGTATAATCATTAATTAGTTTATTTAATGTTAAATATTTACTATTGTATTTGTTTCAAAGATTCATTTATTTATTTATTTGAAAGGCAGAGTTAGAGAGAGAGATATCTTCCATCTGCTGGTTCACTCCCCAACTGGCCAAAATGGCCAGGGCTGGTCCAGGCTGATGCCAGGGTCCTGGAATTCCATCTGAATCTCCCACGCGGGTGGCAGGGACTTAAGCAAGCACTGGGGCCGTCTTTGGCTCCTTTCCCAGGTGCATTAGCTGGGAGCTGGATCGGAAGTGGAGCAGCTGGTACTTGAACTGGTGCTCCGATCTGGGATGCCAGCATTGCGGGTAGCGGTGTAGCCCACTGTGTACAACACTGGACCCAGTGTTTACTGGTTTAGAAAAATGGTGTCTCACCCATGCTGTTGTTGTCTAGGGTGCCCAAGAGCGCATAGACAGCTTGCGTCGAACTGGAGTGATCCATGAGAAGCAGACTGCTGTGTCAGTGGAAAACTTCATCGCGGAGCTGCTGCCTGACAAGTAAGAGTCTTCGTTTTCTCTTGAAAGTAAAATGTAGTTGGATGTTGGGTTCACACTGAATGCCCACCAGGGAGTGTCTCCTGTTTTAAAGCCGGCACTTAACTAGCTGTCTGTCCTGTGTCTTAGCTGATGTCTGTATCCTGCTTCTTCTTTTAAATATAAATCAGAAATAGTTTCCTGCTTCCTAAGGTTGTGCTAAGAATCACAAGGTAAAAGCAGTGACTGTGAGGTGATACAGTGGCCCAGATATAAGTGACTGTGAAAGGCGGACACGGTCATTCAGATACTCGGGGTGCTGCAGGGCTGTGGGTAGGCCTCATGGCCATGGCTGGGTTTGATACTCAGTGACTATTCTCTTGTGGCTTTAGTTTAGAGAAACCTGCATATGGTATAATTAATTATCATTCCTGAAGGCTCTGTATTTTTGATAGTTGGGTCTTTAATGGGAAAAGGTTGTTGTATATGTTGAATTGATTTATATTAATATAACTTTCTTTTGTTGAAATCTTTTATACTTGCATTGCTATTTTGCTTGTTTTTCGCTGTTTAGTACTGAATAACAATGTATACTAGTGCTTTGTGGCTTTAGTATGGAAAATTGTTCTCCAGCTTGGCAGAGAAAATGAACAAGTTTAAATACATTTCTAGAAATGTAGGTAATTCTTGCTGAGAGGAAACATTGCATAAGATTTCGGTGGAGGTAAGTGCAGGTAGAGTGAGATGAAATTCGTGAATGATTAGTGCTTGAACTAGTAAAACTTGTATAGTAGAAATAAGTAGTTAGACTTTCTGGCGGGAGGAAAAGTTAAAGGTAGGTAAAAGGTGTTCTGGGGTTGCTGATTGTATCAGCGTGGCTGTAGGTTGTTGGATGGGAAATCAAGAAATGATGTGGGGGCAGGTTGTGAAGAACTTTGAATTCTAGCCGAAGACTTTCCAAAGATATTATTTGATGTTTTCCTTCTGGTTACCTTAAGCGTTCCAATGTACCTTTTTGTTGTATCGTAACAAAATTTATAAGCATTTTTTTTTATTTCTTGTAATGTTGTCAAGCATCTTCTTTTTAAAATTTTTAATTTATTTGAAAGGCAGAGTTACATACAGAGAGGTTGGTTCACTCCCCAAATGGCCACAGAGGGCAGAGCTGGGCTGATCTGAAGGCAGGAGCCAGGAGCTTCTTCCCGGGTTCCCACACAGGTGCAGGGGCCCAAGGACTTAGTCCATCTTCTGCTGCTTTCCCAGGCCATAGCAGAGAGCTGGATCGGACATGGAACAGCCGGGACTCAAACCAGTGCCCATATGGGATGCTGGCACTGCAGGTGGCGGCTTTACTCGCCATGGCACAGTGCCAGTCTCTCATAGCCTTGCTTTTATGTGGGATAAAAATATAAAGTTAATCAATAGTATAACTTCCTATATCTTTTTTTTTTTAAGGTTTATTTATTTATTTGAAAGGCATTTACAGAGAGGCAGAGGCAGAGAGAAAGAGGTGTCTTTCATTTGCTTGTTCATTCCCCAAATGGCCACAATATCTGGAGCTGCGCTGAACCAAAGCCAGGAGCTTCTTCCAGGTCTCCCATGTGGGTGCAGGGGTCCAAGGCCTTGGGCCATCCTCCGCTGCCTTCCAAGGCCATAGCAGAGAGCAGGGTAAGAAGAGGAGCAGCTGGGATTAGAACCAGCACCCATATGGGATGCTGGCACTGCAGGCCGTGGCTTTACCTGCTGTGCCACATCACCAACCACGTCAAGCATCTTAATTCTGCATGCATGTTACTTAATTAAAAAAAACAAAAAGATTTATTTATTTGAAAGCAGCATGACAGAGACAGAGAGAGACAGAGAGAGGGAGACAGACAGACAGACAGATGGAGAGATCTTGCATTCATTGGTTTAATACCCAAGTGCCTGCCATAGCCAGTGCTGGGCCAGGCTGAAGCCAGGAGCTAGGATCTCCATCTGACCTGGGTGTTAGAAACGCAGCTGGTCCAGGCAGATTAGGAAGATGCTGAATTGGTAGTGCCGAGCAGGTGATAGGGCAGTCCCAAGTGGCATCGTAACCCGCTGCTCCACAGCATCCACTCCGCATGTTTTCTTTTCTTTTCTTTCTTTCTTTTTCTTTTTCTTTTTTTTTTTTTTTTTTAATTTGACAGGTAGAATTATAGGCAGTGAGAGAGACAGAGAGAGAGAGAGAAAGGTCTTCCTTCCATTGGTTCACCCCGCAAATGGCCACTATGGACGGCACCGTGCTGATCAGAAGCCAGGTGCTTCCTCCTGGTCTCCCGTGCAGGTGCAGGAGCCCAAACACTTGCATCCTCCACTGCCTTCCCGGGCCACAGCAGAGAGCTGGACTGGAAGAGGGGCAACCGGGACTAGAACCTGGCGCCCATACGAGATGCCGGTGCTACAGGCAGAGGATTAACCAAGTGTGCCACGGTGCCGGCCCCGCATGTTTTCAGCTCCTGACGTTTCACTGGTATTATTCTGTGCCGTCAGTATTCGTTTATGTTTACCCTTTGGAGTTCTTCCTGCACTTTTGTGTCTCTGGGACCATTTTCCTTCTTTTGGTACTGATGGCATGTAGTCACAGTCAGAGCCGCGCTAGGTCTGGGTTGTGCTCCGTGTCAGCCAAAGGTCTGTACTTCACCCCTGAAAGGGTCCCTCCCCATTCTGCAACCTAGTAGGACCTGGTAGGGGAGGCCTGATGATGGTTTCTGGTATGCATTGAGGAGGAGAGCTGCCAGAAAGGTTGTGATGCAGGGTGGGAAGACAAGACACAGGTGAGAAATCCAAGGTCCAAATACTTGTTTTGTGCTTTGGCACTTCTTTTTGCAGGCCTGAGAAGACAGTGTTGGCCGGCGCCGCGTCTCACTTGGCTAATCCACCTGCAGCGCCGGTACCCTGGGTTCTAGTCCCAGTTGGGGCACCGGTTCTGTCCTGGTTGCTCCTGTTCCAGTCCTGCTCTCTGCTGTGGCCCAGGAAGGCAGTGGAGGATGGCCCAAGTGCTTGGGTCCTGCACCCATGGGAGACCAGGAGGAAGCACCTGGCTCCTGGCTTCGGATCGGTGCAGCGCGCTGGCCATAGCAGCCATTTGGGGGGTGAACCAACGGAAGGAAGACCTTTCTCTCTGTCTCTCTCTCTCTCACTGTCTAATTCTGCCTGTCAAAAAAAAAAAAAAAAGACAATGTCAAGGAAGCACATTTTACCACCAAGGCAAGGAAAGACTAATCCAGGAAAAATGAGCGAGGCAAAGGAGGGGCTCGCAGGTGTAATGCTAATGAGGAAGAGAGCGAGTGTAGGCCTTGCAGTTTCCAGCTGCTGCCTACGTTAGATAAGAAAAACCAGCACGATGCCCACTCTGCTGTGAGATTTCTTCTGCCTTGTGAAATCTGAGTATCTCGAAGTTGCAGTTCTTCTTGGGGCCTTTTCAAGTCAGTTGGCTTTCAGATTGGATTGGTGAGAGCCATCGTATTTACCGGCAACGTGGAGAGACTGGGGGTCCTGCATGACCGTCCTTGAACGTGATCAGCCTGGTTCCCACTCTTCCTTCTCATGGTGGTGGTGGGGAGCTGGAAGCTGAGGGACAGTGGGAAGCGGGGAGGAGAACTGAACGCTTCCTTGGGCAGCTCCTAGTGTTGGAGATGGAAGGGTTGCTGGTCGGGATGACAGTGACTGCTGTTGTAGATGTATCTGAGCTGAAGAAAGCTACAGCGTTCAGCAGCATGGTGGTCTTCAGGGGACCTTGGCTTCTGAGGTGTACTTGGAGGCACCTTAGAAGAGACTGCTCACACTTTCGGGACTCTGCTTGTAAACACATGCATTCCCAACAGCTTAGTCGGCTCGTTATACGTTACAGGCGTTTTTGTGCACAAAACATGCAAAATTATGCAAACTGAAATTTAACTTTGCAGGTGCATGATCTTGACCGAGGAAGTGGTCATAACAGAATGTGAAATACTGATGGGTATACTAGATAAAATAGATGTCATTATTTAGCATTTTAATTGGAAGCTCAGTTAGTTTTAGGATATGAATACTGCAGATAGTACAAACTTCCATTTTAATATTCAGTTATGTAAATAGGAGCCTAACCCACTTTACACAGCCTTGTACTCCATCAGATCTACATATTATTAGAAATAGAGTCTCTGGTTATTTTCCCTTTCCAAATCCTGTGTGTGTTCAGCTTCTGATTTCAGGGCGCCTGGCTGGTTAGTTAACCTTTGGGGTGTTACAGTTGGCCTCTCCAAAGTCAATTTTAGAATGTATAACTACATATTGTCTTAAATGGAAGATTTCTTTGATTTCGTGAGGCTGTTTTCACATTGACTCATTGTGAGTAATTCATGCAATGACAAGGATTTATCAGCAGTGGGGTGAGTGAGTGTTATTTCTTCTGAATGCACTTATTTTTTAATTTGCTGGTAACTTTGTTAGTTGGCATATTTGTGGTAGAATTGGCAATATAAAATTTCCAGTATTTTACAAGTGACATTTTAAATATAGTACTCAGGATAAGCTGTTTGCATCTGCAGTGAGTGTGAGTTTGTCTGTTGCATATTTATGTGCCATCCTCCCATCATCTCGCCCCATCTGAGCAGTAAAGTATAATTTCCACAGTGAGTTATTTATAGTTGGTTTCTTTGTGGTTATTCCTCATTTTTTTTCTCCTCATGGAGTTAAGCCAGCAGACTCATATCTGTTGATTGTATGTGTTATTCTGTTGCAAGTAGATTTTAAAAACGGCTCCTTTTTGAAATTTGCTAATGTCTTGCTGAATAGTAGTACTTGGTTTTTCTTTCTGCCTAGTACTATAACTTTGGCAAGTACGAGTGTATAAACCACTTGGAACACACACATTGTCTTGCAGGTGGTTTGACATTGGCTGTTTGGTGGTTGAGGATCCTGTGCACGGCATTCATCTGGAAGCATTCACGCAGGCCACGCCAGTGCCTCTGGAATTTGTACAGCAGGTTGGTTCCTCCTCAGCTTACTCACTGTGCTCCAAAGAAACTAACATTTTCAAAATAAAAATGGGTAGTGGATAATACGTCCTGAACTTTGCTCCAGTCTTTTTCTTGAACAATATTTATTTATTTGAAAGGCAGAGTTATAGAGAGGGAGAGATGGAGAGAGACAGAGATAGATCTTTTATCCTCTGATTCACTCCCCTAATGGCTGCTGTGGCTGAGATTGGAGCAGGCCGAGACCAGCAGCATAGAACTCCATCCAGATCTCCCATGGGGGTGGCATGGGCCCAAGTACTTGGGCGCATTATTGGGGAGCTGGACTGGAAGCGGAGCAGCTGGAACTCGACTTGGGGTTCATATGGTATGCCTGCACCAAAGGTGGTGGCTTAACCTGCTGCACCACAATGCTAGCCCCTGCTTCTGCCTTTTTTCTCTTAGCCTCTTTCTTTGCTTTTCGATTTCCTGGTCCTTCCATGTTGTCTTGTTACTGCCCTGCTTTGCTTTTCCAACCATTGGAGGTAGATAATAAATGCATTATTTCATTGATCATTATTTTGCTCATGTTTTTGTTTTTATGGTTGTATTCCTTACCCCCGTCTTTTGTTCACTCTCCCCTGTATGTCACATTTTTATTTTTACAATATTGCTCCATTTTCTTTTTCTTAATCTTCTTTGTTAGTTGATTCTTCTGAGTAACAGGTCAGTATTTGGAAGCTTAGATGATAGGTATGTCTTTGGATTTACTGACTGAAAAGTGAACCTACTAGTGTACCTGTGTTGTGGGCTTGGTTGGGCCTACATTCTTATTCCAGGTTTTTACCTCTTACTTAGAGGAGCATTCTGAGTACAGGCACAAACACAACAAAATGTTAACAGAGTGATAACAGTTTATTTACAAGGTGAGAAGAACACATAGGCACAAGTGGGCATTATTCATGGAGAGTGGGCCGGAAAAGGGAAATTAGATTGAGCCATACAAAGCTGCTGTCTTTGGTGATTAAAAAAGGTCAGATATTGTTAGTTTCTTGTGATTGAACATAATTAACTCAGTGAAGCATTGTAATGGAAGAGCTTCCTCTGACTTCAAAAAGCTACTCGTATTATGAGTCTTAAAAAAATAATCAAGAGACAGATGTGTGTCTTGCTACATAGAGTATCAAAAATAAAGGCAGAAAGTTTTCCAGTTCATTCTGTGAGCCTAGCTTAACACCAAAGGACATTATAGTCCAGTGTCATTTAATGCATCAGTGTCACTTAAATGTCCAAGTTGGTGGTAAAATGAATAAATACAATCCAGAAATGTTAGCTACATTAGAAGCAGTAACCTTGAAGGATTTCAGTTCATGAACAGATTAAAGAGGAAAAAGGATGTCAGTGGACTTGGAGCTGTTTTCTGGAAATAATCTTAGTAATAACTCAGCTAATTGGGGTCAGAAGGGTATGTGTGGCAGGTGCCGTGGCTCACTAGACTAATCCTCCGCCTTGTGGCGCTGGCACACTGGGTTCTAGTCCCGGTCGGGGCGCCGGATTCTGTCCCGGTTGCCCCTCTTCCAGGCCAGCCCTCTGCTGTGGCCAGGGAGTGCAGTGGAGGATGGCCCAAGTGCTTGGGCCCTGCACCCCATGGGAGACCAGGATAAGCACCTGGCTCCTGGCTTTGGATCAGCGCGGTGTGCCGGCCGCGGCGGCCATTGGAGAGTGAACCAACGGCAAAGGAAGACCTTTCTCTCTGTCTCTCTGTCTCTCACTGTCCACTCTGCCTTTCAAAAAAAAAAAAAGAAGGGTATGTGTGTACTAGAAAACGTCAGCAAACTTCAGATGCGGTGGGAAATTTAGGAACTTGAGGATGCTGCTGCCCCGCCCCTGCCAGCGTTCACATCGCTGTGATGTGGGGCTGGCACATGCAGAGCAGAGCCCACCCCGGCTTGCGTCCTGTTTGTGTGACCAAGTGTGACTGACACACATTTTGTCAGTTGGCTTCTATGTGATAGTAGCTGCTTCTGTGCCATAGCAGAATTGAGCGGTGGTAGTTGAGGCTGTCTGGCCCACACAACCTCAAATATTTATTGTGTGGTCCTTTTCATTTTGCCAAGCCCCGTGCCAGATGGCTGGCTACTGTAAAAGGCCACTTTTTGTTTGACTATTAGGAATATATGCTGGCAAGAAAGAGACCTGATGCTTGCAGAGTGGAGTGGACCTGTACATACATGTGTTGAGGTTATCTGTGGCACACTGCTGTGTGGAGCACATGTAGTATGGTCTCGCTTCCTAGCAGGGGCACGTGTAGACACTGCCACATATGTGCTTTGAAAACATCACATGAATACAGAAAGGGGGCTTGCAAAGATGCACAGCAGACTGCTAACAGTGATTAATCCAAAAGGGCATCATTTAAGTTCACGGTGCTTTACATTCTTTGTTTTTTTTGTCATGTGGTTTTAAAATTCAGAAGATAGTAAAAATGTGTGTATTGAATTTCCTTCTTTGAATAGGAGAGTCTTCCCTCCTTTTTTATCCAGCCTGAAATGTCTCGTATGTGTGTTTCTTTTATGGTTGGAATCTTTTTTTTTTCTTAATTCAAAGAAATAGAAATGAACCCTTCAGGAAGTGTTTACTGAATGGGTTGAAGCTTTAACCTGCAGTTTCCCTCTTCCTGGTTCAGCTTTTGTGACCATAAAAGCTAATCCCAGCACTAACTTTAGCACTAGTCTTACTGTTGAATTGAAGTGACACTGGTAATAGAACTAGACGCTAAGCCATCTGACTTGGAGCTCTGATACTGGATGGAATTGTAGATGTGAGTTAGATTATATTTGAACAGAAAAGCACATGAAGATATTTCAAACAAGGCAGATGTGTGCAAGATTATTTTGTTTCTTTTATGGCCTTGTAACTTCAAACAGTTGGCTGTGCAGCTGTGCTCCTCAGAGTCCGTCATAATTTGTATTATAAGTAACCCGAGAGACTTTGAAATGTCACTTCCAGCAAAGCTGCCTGGCGTGCTCTTTTGCAGTGTACCGTAAGTGTAATCAGTTTCGTTTTTCCCACAGGCTCAGAGCCTGACTCCCCAGGACTACAATCTGAGGTGGTCGGGCCTTTTGGTGACAGTGGGTGAAGTCCTGGAAAAGAGTTTACTCAGCGTCAGCCGGACTGATTGGCACATGGCTTTCACCGGGGTGTCTCGTCGGCAGATGATCTACAGCGCAGCCAAGGCGGTCGCGGGCATGTATAAGCAGCGCCTGCCCCCTCGGACCGTGTGAGCGAGACCTGTCGGGGAGACTGAGACCTCCTCACTGGTACCTTCTGAAATTGAAAGCCTCAACGAATCCAGCTGTTTTGATAATTTTCCTGTAGCTGCAGTTTTGCTTTTTGTAGAAAGACATGGCGTTCTTTTAATCGGTAAAAAAAAACAGCATCCTTTTTGTAGTCATGTAATTTCACGTCATAGTTCTCAAAAAAGAAAATATACAAATATATTTATAGCACAATTTAATATACCAAATTTGTAAGGTGGAGATTCATGTGTAAAAACACTTAACCTCATGATATGTACTTGATTATTTTGTTGCTTAAAGAAGATGTGGTTCATTAAAGAAAATGTTTATTGATTATTCTTTAAAAGCATTGCTTCTTTTGCTTCCCTTCCCTGGAGTGGTTGGCGACTTGTGTGTTTGCACTTGACCTCGAGCCTGGTGCCGGGCACTGTGCGCTCACACTGTCTGCAAGTTGTCTGCTTGTCTGGTGGGTATTTCTGTGCACGTTTTTAATGATGGGGCCAAAATAATGGAATTGTAGTTTTCTTCCTGGTTGTAGTCCAGAAAAGTATGCTTTCTTCTTTTTTTAAAATCATGTTGGGCATTGCAGAGGTTTCTCCTACAAACATTGGGATAATGCAGTTTATTTTTTCATTGCTGTGTGAGAGCTCTGAGGGCAGATGGTTCAGGTGTAGCTCAGAAGTGTTTGCGGATTCTTGTATGATACTGCTCAGTACTTCTGAGAACAAGCTCTGACAGCCGTTGTTTCTACTCTTAACCTCTTCCCCAAACTATCATGAAGAAGTCTTTGCTGATGGGATTGTATGCTTCTTGTTTTCGTTAAGGTTACTCCTTACTACTTTGCCTTAAACACTGGTTTTCTAACATTGGGCCATTCTGCCTTTTTATGGATGTTTTCAGAGAAACTGCTTTATATTCAATCTGGTTTACTTAGTCCATTATGTTTGTATTTAGAGAAAGCTTCCCCCTCCCCTCAAATAATATATTTTACCATTTTTGAATTTATAGAAGTAAGAATTAAATAAGGTTTTTTCTTATACTATTGAACTCTGTATCTGCAAATTCAGGTAACTTTGAAGATAATTTCTTACATAAATGCAGTGTAATTTTGTGGACTATTCTGCATAGTCCTTTACATGAGGAAGAACTGGCTGCGTCCGGCTGTCGTGTATAGGCGCGGGAGCTCTCAGGCCACGCTGCCTGGACGCGCACGGCTGGCGTGTTGGGTAGTTGGGTGATTTCTGACATTTTTTACCTGACGTAGAGAAGCAGTCAGTGTTCAGTTGTAGGACCAGGAGATGTGTCCGTTTCCGAGTGCTGTGTCGCCACTGTCGCGAGTCTCAGACTTGGCACCGTTAGCGGAGGCGCCCTTAGCAGAGGCGCGCGTGGTGGAGCGGAGGCGCGCATGGTAGAGCGGAGGCGCGCGTGGTGGAGCGGAGGCGCGCGTGGTGGAGCGGAGGCGCGCGTGGTGGAGCGGAGGCGGGGGTGCCGAGGCGCGCGTGGTGGAGCGGAGGCGCGCGTGGTGGAGCCGAGGCGCGCCCCGTCGGGCACGGGCTCGCGGCGCGTCTGTCCGTCTGTCAGGAGCCTGCTTTGCCTTCTGCTTCTGTCGTTTCTGTTGAAAAGCGATCCTTTCCCGCCAGTATCTTACCGTGCCATCAACCCGATGACAGAAACCCAGACTTCTGTCCCAGACTGAAGGGGCGCGTGCCCTGCTGCAGGGTGCGTGCTGCGTCCGCGCGTTTCTGTTCTCACCGAGCCTCCTGCAGCCTGTCGGGTGTTCCTGTCGGGTCTCGCCGGGGCACAGCGCTGCCGCTCACCCGGGGGTCTCCTGGAGTCGCCGTCGGCCGAAGCAGGTCCTGCCTGGCCAGCCTTCCGCCCTTGGGAACCGGGAGAGGCGCAGGTGCGAGTGTGCTGTTTGGGCCCGGCGTCCTCTCGGGAAGTGAGCGGCGCGGCCGGCTGTCCCTGCCGACAGCCCCTGGTCGTCGCCCCGGGTGGCCTGGCTGGCGGTCCCAGGGGTGGCTGCAGGCTTCCCGGCGGGCTGCCCGGGGCCCTGGCTCTCCCGGTTTCGGAGGAGGCGACCCGTGGCTCGGTCCCCGCTCCAGCTTGGCCCTGTCCTCGGGTGGTCTGTGTCATGTGCTTCTCTTCTGACGAGCTCCGGATGACTGTTTCGAGTTCATGTGTTTTCATCCAAATGATGGCATTTGGTGAGCTTGTGCGTTTATTTATTAAAATTAGTATGAGAGAAGAGGGGAGGCGAGGCGGGCAGAGGAATGCAGTGCCAGCTCCCAGCAGACAGAGGCGCTGCCTGTTCGGAGCAGGGCTGCTTTTACCGAGTGCCACGGCCTCCCCGGCCACGGCCACAGCCACAGCCACGCCGTGGCCTCCAAGGCTGGCTGCTGGCGACTTCCTCTGCTGCTTCCTGCCACTCTGACTTGCCCATTCCCAGTTCCTCTTTCTCTCGAGGATTAGTGAAGGAGAAAGTTGAGATGGAAGAATATAGGCAAAAAGACACTATGCTGTTAAGTGTCAACGTGAAGGGGGCAGATGAAAGTGTATTATGCACATCTATTCAAAATTATGCAAGTTTAGCAATGACTCAGGGCCAGCAAACTTAATCGGCTGTTGAATTTACTGTGTTTCTTGACTAGAAGAAAATTCCCAACAGGGCTTGGATTTGTGAAGCCAAATTGATAATATTCTGTGTTCTAAAAGTTGTTGGATTATACATAGGTTATTAAGAAATGTGGATTTTTACTCCTGGGCTATGGTGTTCATTTATGATGTTATGCAGGATGACGTATGGGTAAAATAGACTTTGTAAGTGTGTAAATAAATATGTCCTAAATAAATAATACTTTGACTTACTTCCCAAGGGTGTACAGTGGTTATTTAAATGATGCTTTATACCAGTATTGTGTAAGAAGGACTCATGCTCGTCTTTTGTCCGAATTGCTTCCTGGTTGCCAGGAATTCTTGTGGGACAGCAACGGCAAGCACCATTCTTCTGGTGGAAATGTAACATTGGGCTCTAGCAGGATTGCCAGCTGCAGGTTCAGAGAGCTCATACTGTTTAGGATGCATTGGAAAAAAAGGTCGTGAGTGAGCATTTAAGATCTGTGGTCACGAGGAGCCCTCTTGGGCACGGGGTGTGCTTTGTCTTTGACCTCCAGAAGTGTCTTTGTTGTTGCTCTTTTTACTTGATCATTTTAGATGAGTTTTGGATTCACAGTCAAATTGGCAGCGAGAAGGTACAGAGATTCCCCATAAACACTCTGCTCCCGCACTTAGGGTCCCCTGTTTCAGCGTGTGTCACCGCACTGGGCGGTCTGTTCTGTCAGAGCCGCCCGGAGTCCACAGGTTACCTTGGAGTTTGTCATGCTGTGCTTCTTCAGGTTAGGGCAGATGTACGGCAACATGCATCTGTTGTTACACATCACCACCTCGAAATCCTCCACGCTCGCCTGACCAAACCCCCTCCCTCGCCAACCCCCGGCAGCCACCGATCATTTTACTGTAATTGTGCCTTTTCCAGAACATTCTGTAGTTGGAACCATACATTATGTAGCCTTTTCAGATTGGCTTCTTTCACTTAGTAACGTGTAGCATGTGTCAGGGACTTGTGTGTGTGTGTGTGTGTGTGTGTGTGTGTGTGTGGCTGGACAGCTCATTTCTTGGTAGTGCTGCATGCGCTGTTGTCTGGATGTACCACAGATCACTTACCTGTTGAGCTCCTACAGGGTGACTTGAGCTCCTACAGGGTGACTTGGTTGAGCCCGAGTGTGGGCAGTTATGAGAAAAGCTGCTGTAGGCATCTAAGCACAGGCTTTTGTGTAGACTGAGTTGTAACTCCCGGGGGCAGACACGAAGGAGTGTGGCTGCCGGATCACGTGGTGAGAAAGCTGTGGAAGAAGCTGCTGAGTTGTCTTCCAGAGTGGCCGCTGTTTTTTAATGTTTATTCTTTGCTGTGTTAGCTGTTCTGGGCATATGATCTCCAAGACAAGAGAGTCTTGTTTTGATGTGGGGAGGTATGTGGTGGAAACATACTTGCCAGGAGATGATAGAATATGGGTTGGGGGCAGGGCTGTGTGTGTGTATTTGCCAAAAGACAACAATATTGTTTTATTTTTTAAAATATTTATGTATTTGAAAGGTGCAGTTACACAGAGAAGGAGACAGACAGAGAGATCTTCCAAATACTGGTTCACTCCCCAGATGGCTCCAATGGCTTGGGTTGTGCCAGGCTGAAGCCAGGAGCCAGGAGTCAGGAGCTTCTTCCAGGTCTCCCACGTGGGTGCAGGGGCTCAGGAGCTTGGGCCATCTTCTGCTGCTTTCCCAGGGACATTAGCAGGGAGCTAGATTGAAAGTGGACCAGCTGGGGTAACAACCAGCACCCACATGGGATGCTGGTACAGAAACCATGGCTTACCTGCTGTGCCACAGCACCGGCCTCTACAATATTTTTTAAAAAGATTTATTTATTTATTTATTTGCAAGTCAGAGTTACACAGAAAGAAGAGAGGCAGAGAGAGAGAGAGAGAGAGAGAGAGAGAGAGGTCTTCCATCCATTGGTTCACTCCCCAACTGGCCACAATGGCTGGAGCTGTGCCAATCCAAAGCCAGGAGCCAGGAGCTTCTTCTGGGTCTCCCACGTGGGTGCAGGGGCCCAAGGACTTGAGCCATCTTCTACTGATTTCCCAGGCCATAGCAGAGAGCTGGATTGGAAGTGGAGCAGCCGGGTCTCAAACCGGCACCCATAGGGGATGCTGGCGCTTCAGGCCAAGGCGTTAATCCGCTGTGCCACAGCGCCAGTCCCAATATTGTTTTCAGTAAGATAAAAATATGCCTGGTCAGGGGCTGGGAAAAGCCTTGTTCATTTTACAGTTAATTTCAAAATTAACTAAAGGAGGAAAATAAAAACAATTTTGGTGATAGAAACAAAGTTAGCCAGACTAACGTCAGCTTTGGTGCTGATATTTAGCACAGCAGTTTAGATGTCACTTGGAGCGTCCATGTGACATTTCAGAGTGGCTGTGTTCAAGTCCCAGCTCCACTTGGAATTCCAGCTTTCTGCTAATAAACGCATTAGAAGGCGACAGCTTTGTGGCTCAAGTACTTGGGGTCACTGCTATCCATTTGAGAGGCTCATGGCGTTTGAGTAGTAAATAACAGGTTTCTTTGTGTGTTGTGTGTGTTTGTGTGTGTTTGCCTTTCAAATACATAAAAACCTGAGAGAGGGCTCTGAGTTAATAATTTACAGATGAAGGAACTCCGTAAAATGAATGTGTTTTATTTTAAGAATTTAAAGCAGTGAGAAAGGAAAGAGGAAGTAAGAGTAGGCACCTCTCA